GATACATGTTGTCCAAGAAATAATACTAACTTAATTGATACATGTTGTCCAAGAAATAATACTAGCTTAATGTATACATATTGTCCAGTACATAACATTAATCTAAATCATATAAATTATGCAAAATATAATGTTAGCTTAATTTACATAAATTATGCAAAATGTAATGTTAGCTTAATTTACATAAATTATGCAAAATGGAACGGGTTTGATTCAATAAACTATTCAAATTACCAAGTTAATGCGATTTGAGTAAGTTATTCAAAATGATTAACGATCACATAATACTATTTAAACAACAACAAAAAAAAACATTTTGTTGGTTTACACGAGTAATTGTTCTGGTTCCGGTGGCTCAAAATGTTAGGCTATTTTATACTTATTACTTGGTGTAACTGACTGTATCCAGTAGCTAAAACTCGGAGGAAAGACATACTACAGTGAGTGTTGATATAAACATTGCTATCTCAGTCTATTTTGATTTAAATAATTATTACTTACTGAATGGATTTTATATGATTTTCCTTGACTAGAAAAAAGTAGTCTTGTCTTGTTTCAAGTGATAAGGGAATAATAAGCCTACCTGCTCCGTCTGTTCGGGCATGGACCACGTTGCTCGGTTCACTTTTGCCGACGCTGTTGTGGGCGGTGAAAAAGAACTGATAGTTGGTGCCACACTTCAAGTTAGTTACCGTGTACTGCTTGTTGTTTGTTTTAACGGAAGTTTCCTCCCAAGGATCTTTGTTTATGCGAGAATGGAGAACATAATCTGTACAGAAATAGTTTTGAACGTTCTTCAACGAAATCTTTAAGAACAATATTGTTTGATTTTTGTTTAATTTGGGATTTGGGACAAGTTGCACCTTCCAGCACAAAGGTGACCAAATTCCTGTGGAGTGCTTTGATTGACCCAATTAGATTAAGACTCTCAACCATGTGGATATTTTAATTCTCAATTATTCTGAATTTTACAGCTTTTTATAACTATTATACAGTTTTCTTTTTCTACTTTTATGCTTTGGAAGATGGTATTATCATTAGGATCAAAATATGCATATGTTACAAGTCTTCACAGTTACTGAAAATTCAACTTTTATTGAAACAAAAACACCTTTAACGCATGTTACATTCTTTGGTTAACCTAACATACAAACTGAGTTTCGTTTTATGCTGAAGAGTTTTAAACAGAGATTAAAAGCACATATAGCAAGATAAATTATTGCGACCTGCCTGTTACAGCTTTGCCGAAAGTTGCTTTTTGTGACCATCCAAGTGTAACGGAAGATGTTGTGGAAGACATAACCTTGACATCCGGCGCAGTAGGTGGAACTAGAGAGACAGATAAAAGCTTTAAAAATATGTTAGAAGAATATACAACGCCGAGAGTAAACAAAAGTATTATCATATTTGCTATTTGAAATATATCATATACGGTAAGATACTTTGTTTGTTTCACATTTTTAACGCAAAGGTAGACAAGAGGCCATGCGTGTATACTGGACAACCGTTCCTAATTTTTGAAATGAGAGACTAGATGTGATTAATATTTATTGATAAAATGTAATATTAAATCATAGACTGATGACACAAATCCCCCCCTACATAATTCTTTGTTGATCCGATTTTAAGGTTTTTGTCATTATGAAAGCGGGCGAAAAGTACATATACGTATATCTGCACGGTAACAGAAAATGTGTAAAACCGTTTAATAAATAAGCAGCCAAAACTTGATGGTTAAAAAGACTAAAACACACACACACACATATTTAAATTAACTGAGAAAGGCAATATATATATATATATA